GACAACGAGTGCGAGATTTTCCCAATACTAAGTAGTGCTCGCGCGTGAACCAGCGTTATTTTGGCGGGAACACGTGGTAGCCGTCGTCACTCTACTACGAGTTTTAGCGAGAATGTCGAAGTTGCGATGCTTGTAAAAGTTAGTTTAAGAAGTAAATTGCTTTCTCGAAATCCTTTTGACAGATGAATATTCAAAAATTATGCATTTTCTTTCCGTAACTGAAAAGCCGATATGAACTCGTTTATTCAGCTTATTCAGTTTATTCAATGAGTCATCACTTTGTCGGAGAACTGTGAGAAACAAGAACTCAAAACAACTACTCAGCAATTCCCTGACCGCTGGTGAGACCGAATCCGAGATGAAACTGTTTTCGGCTATTCTAGCCATATATTTGGCACTTTTATGCGCAACAGACCTAGGTATTTTGTAATTTTTCCATACCACCATACAGAGTAATGTTCGCCGGGATCTAGCAAATCAGCAAAAGAACTAACTCAGGGGAAAGCAAAAAACTAATAACGCTCATAATTAGGAAATTGGTCACACGGAATAATACTACACTTATTTATCACAATATTGGGAGCCTCCTCGTTTTTGTCGAGTTCATTTTTCCACCAAATCGTCCATTTTACAAAGAAATCATCTCATATCAAGCGAAATTGTTTTGCGTGGTATTAAACGCTACTGGCGAGCGCAACAACGTAGCGCGCGGCGACGACGACCAAGACGAGAAAATAGAAAAGAAACAGATTTAATAAGCAAAATAAAAACACTCAATGCCTTCATCGCACGAAAAATGTTGTAAAACGCAGCCGGATCGGAATGAAATCATCATTTCATCTTTAGCGATCGTTGCGGCTTCGATTTCGTCAGAAATACTTCTCCAAAATCTTGGTTATGATCACTTCATCGGCTACAAAAAAGATACTATTAGCATTTTTTTCCGTGAAAAGGTTGCAATTTCCAGTCACTAGTACTTTTCACAAATTGAAGATCCTACTTAGATATTGTTGATTGATGTGAGTGCAATTTTTCTTGCAGTTCAGACAGGCAGTGTAATTAAACGAAGTGTTGTCAATGACCCAACACTTACAAAACTGCAAGATATCGAGCGAATACTTGGTGAGTAAAGTTGATCCCGCAAAAAATAAACCCCTTTCCCCCCCTCCCCCACACGCACTAATAGTTGCACTTCAGTCAATTTTTCTTCCAGTGCCTTCTTTCAAACAACAGTACCCACTGCGGGTACTCGCGGTTCAGTGTTATAATTTGGCGTTTTTCGCGAAAAAAAATCCTCGTCAAATTTAAACACGCGAAATGCAATGACCAGATAGTTCATAGAATACTCAAATCACATAAAAGATGATAAAACATGTAATTATAACAGCATATACACAGTACAATAATGATTTGAAAAATGCACGAATAATTCACTGATTTTTAGTAAGTTCGGTTTTGTATCTTCTATGAAAGAGGGTGTTCTAAATTAATTAATATTCGCATACTGAAGAAGAAACTCTAGCTAGTATCTGGCCGGATGCTCATACAGTTAATCTACAAATTTAGAATGTCAGAAACGTTGAAAAAAAAAATCAAGTTGAGAACATTTGAATCGCGAAATTTAATGCCTTTTGTTCATATGCCATCACAGGTAACCCAGGCTCTGTGATAGTACCACCGTACGGTTCCAGTAAAATTACAGTGTTTGTATTGGGTAAAAATACCATCCTAAAAGTTCTAGGAAATACTAATTAAAGATCAATGAAACTTACTCGGCAGTTAATTGTTGTTGTCCTTATTGCTCCAATGAAGTTGCGTGATAATTTACAGTAATTTGTTCAAATTCACTCTATATACAATAATAATATACAAGGTAGGAGTCACGAGATGCCATTTTTGCCGACATGCTCTCATTCAACACAACTTTTTCCACGAAATTCGAACTGCAGCGGAAAATAAACATGCCAGGATCGTAGAAATAGGATAGCAGCAGATATAGAAACCATAAATTTATTGAGCTTTTGCCATAGTTATGCACAGATTCGAATAGATATCCACAAGAAGACGAAATTGCCAGATACGATGCATGGAGACTTCCCGCCGTCTTTCCCAGTTTGTAGGAAGGAGATATACAATGTTGTTCCTTTTCTGTTTATAAATTATCGTATTTATATGGCACTCGATGAGACAATGAAAACGATTCTTATTTACGTTTGACGTAGCAATTTAGAAATAACTTGCGATCAGGCCTCCCAAAGAAAATGGAAAAATCTAAGGACCCCCTGATCGCAGATTAATGAAGAAAAATCAGACTGTTCAAGCAAATCGAGATTTTCTCTAGCTTACTGACTGTATATTTCAACTGTAAGTACTTTCCGGGGGGCAAAAAAGTTGCGATGCGTGTAAGAGGTTTCAAATTACGTATGCAAATTTACTTATATTTTTGAAACAAAATTTCGAAGTCAGCGTTTTATGTTTTGCTTTGAACGGTGCACTTGGAGATTTATGAAATTAGCTGTTCAGTTATATAAAGGTTATGTAAAACGTTTATTTACCATTTTGACAACTCATTAAGACCATATTTCTCATTCGCCATCGCGAATGATCCTTAGGCGACCAGACGCCGGGACCAGACGCAAGTTATGCACCAAAAACAAACGCATTTTATGATTAAGAAGGTAGCCTTCATATCAAAAATATACCGACAAAATTGTCCAAAAGTTCAGACAAGCAACCTATTGTAGTTTTTTTTTCCGCTAAAAGTGAAACTTTTACTCGTCAAAGTGGGAGATATACGCGCATGAAAGCACTGACGAGAGGTGTGAATTTCTGCAGATGCGAAAAAGTAAAGTTGACTGATGAAATTCAAAAGTTATGTATTTTCTTTCCGTAACTGAAAAGCCGAGACTCGATTTTTGCGTCTAACACGGGAAAATCAAGTTTCGGGTACTTTTTAGCAGTGCCGTAGCTTTAGATAACACGCCTTGCGTGCTTTTGCGCACGGTGAAAGGGTGTTGTGCTATTTTCCACGCAGCTGTTGTCCGCTTTCATTGACACGCGTTTTCTGTTTTTTTAACTTGCTCACGCTTAATTGTCTCAAGCGTGTCCTCTAAAATGAACAAAAGAAATTGCTAATAAGGCAAGATGGCTTGCGTGCTGAAGCGTACGCGTGTTAAAATGAATTGTTTTGTTTTAAAATGGAAGCGTTTCGTAAGCGTTCTTTCACCTTCAGCATCAAAATGCTGTGGAGTGTCACATATTGTTGCTAGAAAAACTAGACCGCGTAATGCCGCAATAGTTTCATCCTCAACTTAACGCTTGAACTCGCTGTTCGGATGATCATGGTCTCGCCTCGTGATTTTTACGTCAATCATGCATAACATCCTGTCTGAACTCGTTTATTCAGCTTCATCCTTCAATGAGTCATCACTTTGACAGAGAACTGTGAGAAACAAGAACTCAAAAGAACTGCTCGGCAATTTCCTGACCGCTGGTGAGACCGAATCCGAGATGAAACTGTTTCCGGCTATTCTAGCCATATATTTGGCACTTTTATGCGCAACAGACCTAGGTATAGTGTAATTTTTCTATACCACCATACAAAGTAATTTTCGCCCGGACCTAGCAAATCAGCAAAAGAACTAACTCAGGAGAAAGCAAATTGCTAAGAACCCCCATACTTAGGAAACTGGTCACACGGAATAATACTACATTTATTCATCACAATATCGTGAGCCTCTGTATGATACCTGGGAACGTCGTTTTCGTCGCGTTCAGTTTTCCACCAAATGGTCGATTTTACAAAGAAATTATTTCCGTATCAAGGGAAATTGTTTTGCGTGGTATTAAACGCTACTGGCGAGCGCAAGAACGTAGCGACGGCGACGATTACAAAGACGAGAAAATAGATTAAAAAAACAGATTTAATAAGCAAAATAAGAACACTCAATGCCTTCATCGCACGAAAAATGTTGTAAAACACTAAAAAGTTGCCGGATCGAAATGGTAATGCGAATGTTGTTTTAGTCTGACTCTAAAATCGTCATTTCATCATTAGCGATCGTTGCGGCTTCGATTTCGTCAAAAATACTTCTCCAAAATCTTGGTTATGATCACTGCATCGGCTACAAAAAAGATACTATTAGCGTTTTTCCGTGAAAAGGTTGCAACTTCCAGTCACTTGTACTCTTTAACAAATTGAAGATCCTACTTAGATATTGTTGATTGATGTGAGTGCAATTTTTCTTGCAGTTCAGACAGGCAGTGTAATTAAACGAAGTGTTGGTAATGACGCAATACTTGCAAAACTGCAAGATATCGAGCGAATACTTGGTGAGTAAAGTTGATCCCGCCAACAATAAACCCTCTTTTTTTTCCCCCGAATTTAGAGATAGCTTTCACGAACTGATAGTTAGACTTTGGTCAATTTTTCTTCCAGTCTCTTCTATCAAACAACAGTACCTACTGGTACTTATTTTCGCGCTGTTCAGTCTTATAATTTAGCGTTTTTCGCGAAAAAGAATCCTCTTCAAATTTAAACAAGCGAAATTCAATGACCAAATAGTCCATAGAATATTCAAATCACAGAAAAGATGATAACTTCACTTCGCATGTAATTATAACAGCATATACACAATTAAGATTTGAAAAATACACTAATAATCAACTGGTTTTTAGTAAGTTCCGTTTTGTTTAGGTATTTTCTATGAAAGAGGGTGTTAATTTCAGTGATATTCGCAAATGAAGAAGAAAATCTAGCTAGTATCCGGCCGGACGCCCATACAGTTTATCTACAAATTTAGAATGTCAGAAATAATAAAAAAAACATTTAAGTTGAGCACACTTGAATCGCGAAATTTAATGCCTTGTTTCATATGCCATTAATTATTAAAATCGCGAAAACTGAAGAGATAAGACCCCGCGAAAACCAGCTGCCACGAATGTAACCACGAAATTAACTACCGATTAGGTTTTAAAAACTTAGCCCTACTTTTCTTTCAGGCGTTCCTTGTCCACGGGGCTGGGTGCGATTTAAGGGATACTGCTATCGTGTCAGTAGCTCCATCAAGACTAGGCAAAATGCCCAATTGTACTGCAAAGAACTGGGAGGAAATCTGGTGAAAATAAACAGCCAGGAAGAAAACGAGTTCGTACTAAACCTGGTAAACAAGCTCGCCCCATCGCTGAAGCAGGTCTGGATCGGACTCGAGTGGGATTCTCAACTAAAGGCCTTTGTATGGTACGATCATTCAGTTCCTACCTTCATCAAATGGGCCCCACATGAACCAAGTGCAAAGAGCAAAGAGCCTTATAGCAACATGTGGACGGGTCACGCGGGGAGTTATTCTATGCCATCTGGCGGCTGGAATGATCTCGCTGGTTGGGATACTCGTTTCCCCTGTGGTCTTGTCTGCAAGAGGCTGCCCTAGATGTTAAGCCAGCTTTATTCCCGATCAAAGCCGAAAGTAGAGTGTAGTGAAAAAATAAAAGCAGATTCTGGGTCGACATTTTAAAATGCAGACAAGAAAACATTTTAGTGCTAATTTCTAAAGGGTTAAAAAAGCGACTTGTGACTGAAATAAACATTATGTATCCCTTATATCTTGTTTGTTTTGTTCTTTTATGTAGAGAATTCTTTTTCCTGGCCCATTAAGGTCTTTCAGTGGCAGATCCAGACCTTCAGATAAGTTGGGGGAAGGGGAGGGGGCGGTCATCCAGACCCTGCGATAAGAGGGGGCCCTGGTCTCTGATCCCCAATTTTTCTTTTCGGCCCTTCGGCCCACAGTTTGGTCCGCTAAAAATAAAGGAGGGTCCCAGGCCCCCCGAGCCGCTCCCCTGGATATACAATTTTACGACTCAAGAGATGTTCGCAGAAGTGCTGTTCACTGTTTTTAGATCGTTTCAAAAATATTCTTCTCAACCACTTGACAGGCAGTGTGGGAAAGCGGCAAATTGCAAAAGGATGGAGAAAAGCGGCAACATGTGTGTGTACCCACCCATAAACGGGGTCATATATTAGACTTGGTCATTACAAGGAATGAGACTGAGAGAGCCTTAGGGCTAAAGAATGTTACAGTCATGACAGGTTATCTCGGATCATAAGGCTGTTTGCTTTAATTTGAATTTACGGAAGCCATTAAATGACAGGAGGACTGTTGTCTCTCGTAAATTAAAGGGATTTGGTTTTGATGCTTTCAATGAGATGATTGGATCGTCTGGTTTGTCAGACGGGTGTATCTCGCAAAGTATTGAGTCATTGGCGAAGGAGTATGATGAGGTGTTATGCAATGCTTTGGACAAGCTGGCACCTAAAAGAACTCGCACTATTGTCATTCGACCTAATGCTCCTTGGTATAATGAGGAGATCGCTATTCAGAAGAGGAAAAGGCGAAGGCTCGAACGTAAATGGCGTTCGACTGGTTTTGAAATTGACAGGGTAAATTATTTGGAACAGTGCAATGTTGTAAATGATATGCTCTATAAGGCAAAAGAACAGCATTATTCAGCAGTTATGCAGGAAAATACCCATGATAGTAAATTACTTTTTCGCACGGTTGATAAATTACTGCAAAGGAGTATAGACAAAAGATATCCGTCTGCGAACAGTGACCAAGAACTCGCAAATGCCTTTGCTGATTTCTTTAGTGCCAAGATTGTGCGAATTCGTGATGAGTTGCTGGTTAGAAAAGAGCAGCTGGGGGAGCGCACTATGGAGGATTTTGAGTGTACATCATGCTTTAGCGAGTTCACAATGGTAACAGATGAAGACCTCTTAGGGTTGATTAGGGCTTCAACTATTAAGGCATGCGCACTGGATCCACTTCCAGCGAGTATTATGCGGAAATGCTATTCTAGTCTTGTCCCTATATTTAGAAGGGTGATAAATTTGTCATTGTCATCTGGATTGCTGCCCAAGGAACTTAAGGTAGCGCTGCTATCACCTATTCTTAAGAAATTAAATGCAGACTTTGGGCAGTTTAGTAATTTTCGCCCTGTTTAAAATTTAAAGTTTCTATCTAAATTGATAGAGAAAACAGTTGTTTGTGCAATTGAATAGCTATCTTGGCGGAAATGATCTACACGAGCCTCTTCAGTCAGCGCACAAGATTTTTCACAGCACCGAGACTGCACTTCTCACTGTTACAAATGACATTATGCTGTCATTGGATAAGGGCGAGAACGTTTTCCTTTGTTTTATTGGATCTGTCGGCAGCATTGATACCGTTAACCATTCCTTGCTGCTGGCACGACTGCAGAAATCATTTGGCATCAGAGGAACTGTACTGCAATGGTTCGATTCTTATCTTTCTCAAAGAACTCAGTTTGTCAACATCAATGAGGCGAATTCTACGGTACGAGACCTTACCGTGGGTGTTCCCCAAGGTTCAGTTCTGGGACCTGTACTCTACCTTCTGTATACTGCGCCACTTGCTAAAGTGATAAGATCTTATGGCTTGGATTATCGTCTATACGCCGACGATACTCAGTTATACTTTTCATTCAAATCGGTGGATGTGGACGCTACTAAATCGAGGGTCGAGAACTGCATTTCTGCAATATGTCGCTGGATGGATCTCAACGAATTGAAGCTAAACCACGACAAGACGGAGCTCATGCTCATACACTCAAAGTATCGTCCCTCTCCATCCTTTCAGTCCTTATGTGTTGGTGATGAGAGCGTGGCTGCCTCTAAGTCGGTTAGGAATCTTGGTGTTATCTTTGATGAGCACATGTCTTTTCATGCACATGTGTCTAGCATCCGTAGAACATCATTTTATCATCTCAGGAACCTATCTAGAATTAGGAAGTATTTCACTAAAGAATCAGCAGAAGTTGCTGTTCATGCATTTGTCACATCGAACTAGATTATTGTAATGCATTACTATACGGCCTACCTAAGTATCAGTTACAAAGATTGCAGTATGTACAAAACACGGCGGCTAGAGTTGTGTTGCAAGTGAGTAAGTTTCAGCACATCACACCTGTTTTGTGCGAGCTTCACTGGCTACCGATTCAATATGGTATTATTTTCAAGATTCTGCTCCTCGTCTATAAATCACTGAATGGGACATCGCCTAGCTATTTATCTCAGAAACTACATTATCGTTCTCATACTAGATCATTGAGGTCTGTTAGTAATGATCTTTTAATGCAACCTAGATCGTATACCAAGACCTACGGAGATAGAGCATTTGCTTTTCATGCACCAAGAGAATGGAACTTAATACCCTATGAAATTCGGAAGTCCAACACCATCTCGAGCTTGAAAAGATCACTTAAGACGTACTTGTTTACTAAATTCTGTAATAACAGATCATTGTTTCTATAGATTTGTATATATTGCGTTAGTTTTAATTTTTCCCTTTTTTAATCATTATGAACAAAATAGTTTAATAGTTGCTTTACTTTTAATTTTTTCCTCTTTTTTACTCATTGTAAATATAATTAGGATATGGTTGTAAATTTGTAAATATTTATCAATAATGTTGTTTACATGACTGTAAAGCGCCTTGAACATTGGATAAGAGCGCTATAGAATTATATTATTAATTATATAATTATATCCGAACTTGTTCTGATTGTTCAGACTGTTCAAGGGAAGACAACCTTATCGCCTGAAGATCCATTTGAAAACATTAAGGAAATCCTTATCTAAAAGTCAATTGGCAGCGCAATCGAGTTACGGTTGCTTATATCAGTGTACTTTTTGAAAGATGTTATGTTGCTGACAATGTCGAACATTTCAGCCATTTTTTTGTTGGGTTTCTATTCCGTTATGGTTAAAAAAAAAAAAATTCAGAAATGGACGTTAAAAAACGAGCACCAGTGTAATTAATTAGCGAAATTTTATTACCTTGAACAACGGTGATCCGTTAAAATCGCGAAATATTTGTATTCCAAATTCGCGAAATTAAAGTCGCGCGAAAATAAGTGATAATGAAGTAAACAAACAAGCACTTGTCTTGTTATTCACTTCTGTTTGACATCCGCTGCAGTAAAGCTTAAATATCTCGTCGGAAAACGATGAAATAGTCTCGGAGAATCAGATGATTATCATGCTTTTTTTTTTGCGTGTTTTGGTTAGAAAGTCGTTGTTTCTATGGTAAAAAGTTGCAATGCTTGTAAAAGTTAGTTTAAAGAGGTTTCAAATTACGTATGCAAATTTACAATTTACTTTATATTTTTAAAACAAAATTTCGGAGTCAGCGTTTTATGTTTTGCTTTGAAAGGCACACTTGGAGATTTATTAAATTAGCTGTTCAGCTTAGGTCAGGTTATATAAAGGTCATGTAAAACGTTTATTTACCATATTGACAGCTATTAAGACCATATTTCTCATTCGCCATCGCGACTGATCCTGAAGCGACCCGACGCAAGTTATGTACCAAAAACAAACGCATTCTATGATTAAGAAGGTTGCCTACAGATCAAAAATATACCGACACAATTGTCCAAAGTCAGATAAGCAACCTATTGTTGTTTTTAACTCGGCTAAAAGTGAAACTTTTACTCGTCAAAGTGTAAGATAAGGGGTGGACGCACACGAAAGTACTGACGGGCGGTGTGAATTTCTGCAGACGCGAAAAAGTAAAGTTGACTGATGAATATTCAAAACTTATGTATTTTCCTTCCGTACCTGAAAAGCCGAGACTCGATTTTTGCGTCTAACAGGGGAAAATCAAGTTTCGGTGTTACGCAGCTGTTGTGTAAAAACTGTGACACGCGTTTTCTGTTTTTTAACTTGCTCACCCTTAATTGTCTCAAGTGTGTCCTCTAAAACAAAAGAAATTGCTAATAATGCAAGATGGCTAGCCTGCTAAAGCGTGTTAAAATGAATTGTTTTGTTTTAAAATGGAAGCGTTTCGTAAGGGCGCTTTCACCTTCAGCTCCAAAGTTCTGTGGAGGGTCACATATTGTTGCTAGCAAAACTAGACCGCGTAATGAAGCGATAGTTTCATCCTCAACTTAAACTTGAACTCGCTGTTCAGATGATCATGGTCTTGCCTCGTGATGTTTACGTCTATCATAAGATCCTGTCAGTCTGAACTCGTTTATTCAGCTTCATCGTTCAATGAGTCATCACTTTGACAGAGAACTGTGAGAAACAAGAACTCAAAAGAACTGCTCAGCAATTTCCTGACCGCTGGTGAGACCGAATCCGAGATGAAACTGTTTCCGGCTATTCTAGCCATATATTTGGCACTTTTATGCGCAACAGACCGAGGTATAGTGTAATTTTTCCATACCACCATACAGAGTAATTTTCGCCCGGACTTAGCAAATCAGCAAGGACTCTTTATACAAGGCTTGTGTAAGTATTTATCACAAGGCTTGTATCCTTACAGAAGACTTAAAGGTGCTTACACAAGGCTTGTGTAAAACACTTACACAAGCCTTGTATAAAAGGTTCTTACACAAGTGTAAGAGT